AGAAGCCATCTCCAGCGAAAATGATGTTAAAACGGCCAAAATCCAACGCCTATCCAAAATGGTGAATCAACAAGTGATAGAACTCCGACGAAGATTTCAACTGTGATTATTGTGACAGTGATCACGAACACAACAACGACATAGAATCCGTCACGTCGTCAGTTAAATCCAACAGACGGAAAAATTCTTACGATAGGGAAGACACAAAGCTCAGAAAGCCAGAGCCAGAAGCAGTACAAATAAGGCCTTTGTCCCCGATGTCCAAAAGCCAGCTCAAAACCAGAACACAGCCAGCTCGACCATTACAAAACCTCCAGTGTTAGTAACAATCCCGGCTCCTCTGCTTTCTCCACGCGAAAGGATTGTTATGAGAAACAAGAACAAATACAACCAGATTACTGCTCACTTCAAAGCACAGAAGATTCAATTTAGCCCGGCAACCAACACTAGCAAGGGTATCAAGCTGCACCACACTTCAATGTGCAATGCAAGCCTTGCTCGGTAAGTACGGAGAACCATTTTATTCCTTCTCGTTCCAAGAAGGGAAAAAACTCAGGGTAGTTATCCGTGGGGCCTTAGAAGAGTGGACGACCGAGTTCATCAATGAAACGTAGCGCTTGTACTAGTGATCCTGCCAATCGCCTAGACAAACATTTTTAGACTCAACTTCATCAACCACATTAGAGTGAGAGTCGAAACTCAACGCACCCAAGAGCGATCCAGACAGGGCCACAGATCATACGAACATCCCCAGTCCATGTGCCAAGCCTTGCCCAAATCCGCCGGTGATAACCACACTTCGACTTGCACCAAACCCAAGGAGGAAGCTGCCACCTGTGAAAACTGCGGCGCACCAAACCTGGCATCTTACCAGGGCTGCGCGAAAGACCCCAAAGAAAGCCCGTCTACCAGCTAGCCCTCCCGTCGAACTTCATTTGGGGCCAACAACAAAAAATGCATGGTCGAACACCCGACTGCACCCCGTTTCCTCCGTATCGCAACTTGGAAGTGCTACTCAGACAAGCGGAGAAAGCTCAAACTGGAGAAATTCCTGGAGGAACAACAGGTTGATATGTTCCTGCTTCAAGAAACGCTACTCTATCTTGCAGACCGCGATTCCTTCCAAAACTACATGGTCGCTTGCCAAGACAGAGACGGCAGAGGCGGTGGCACCCTCATCGCTGTCAAAAAACACCTCAAGCACTACGAGGCCACAAACCTAGCAACAGGACTAGGAAGGCACCTTTTCGGCGATACAAACTAGAGGCTGGACAGCGGAAGCTACTCCACCTTTTCCATAAGTATTTCAAAATGTATCACTTGTATTTCAGATTCATCAATTCTACATTATATAATAGTTCAGAACACGTCAATCGTATTCCAGTTGTGTAACTTTAATTTCAGAAAGTATTATTTGTATTTCAACTTTGTCAGTTGTAGTTCAGAAAACGTCATGTGTATTTCAGTTTGGTCAGTTCTATTTCAGAAAAAGTCATTTGTATTTCAGTTTGGTTTTTTGTATTTCAGAAAACGTTATTTCTGTTTTAGATTATTTATTTGTAGATCAGAAATTGTAAATTGTATTTCAGAATTTGTCAAATGTATTTCAGATATTATCAATGTAGTGTATTAATAGTTATTTATGTATCAAGGGTACTAAGTAGATGATTATGCCCTGAGGGCGACAGTCTTACAAAGCCGAGGGCCTCTGGCCCGAGGGTTCGTAAGTCGCCCGAGGGTATATATATCTATTAGTACCCGTGGGGCATACAAACTTTTATGTCATACCAGTTGGTTGTGAATAATAAATACCTGGGAAAAAAGTGTCACTTCGCAAATTGTCATCAGTCTGCAAACATCATAATTTTTTGACAAAAATAATATGTTTATCAGCGTAAATTTATATTTTGCTAATAAAGAATAAGTTAATTGAAAATGTTTTTTGCGTCTTTATGCCCGCGCGGGCCATAATGTGTACTTTATGCCCGCACGGGCATAAAGTAGTGAATTATGTAGATGATATCTAAGGTATAAAAACACAATAATGTATTGGTATGACATAAATATTATTTATAATGAGTCACCTATACACCTATCTTGTGTGGATTTGGGAAAATCTCCGTAGATACTTGAAGATTTCTGAACTACATCTGATAATTTCTGAAATATAATTTACGTTTTCTGAACTACAATCAACTAATCTGAAATACAATTGACGCTTTCAGATATAAAATTACCTAATCTGAAATACAATTGACACTTTCTGAAATAAAATAAACTAATCTGAAATACAATTGACTCTTTCCCAAATAAAATTAACTAATCCGAAATACAATTGACGCTTTCCAAAATACAATTTACTAATCTCAATTTCAATTGACGCTTTCTGAAATTAAACTGACGATCTCTGAAATACATATGGAAAAGGTGCTTCTTGGCAGAGACTGTAGTGCTAAACACACCGACTTGGGCGACCCTTCCACCAACCTCAAAGGTGTCGACATACAAAACTTCAACATATGGAGACCAGATGAGCTGACTCGCTTAGGACGAGGAGTTCCCAGCCATCTCGACTTCTACCTACATAAGAATATACACTCAATGTCACAACCAGGGCTCCTCCGACGACCTGCCGGTGATAGTAGATTTCGGAGACCCAGACGGTCAGATTCGACCAAAGAGGACCACGTCCACATTCACATTCACCAACCGGACGACATTCTCAAACACGCTTGATAGCCGAGAAGTCATCGGAGACATCACAAACACCCAAGACCTGGACCGAGCCGCAGTCTCCCTATCCACTAACATCATACAAGCCCTAGAGGAAGCCAAATCGACGGTCCACCTGAACGGGAAACAGCAGCAAATTCCCTCCGACCTGATCGCAGAGACCAGAACAAGAAACCAACTGAGAAAAACCGCCCTTCGGACCAATAATCCCTGAAGCGGTGGGTTTACCAAATGAACGTAGAGCTAACGACGTCTACAATGAACGCTGGCAAGAAAAGCTAGAAGAGATCTTCCAACATGGCAAGAATCTTTTCACACTTGCCAGAAAAAGAACATGGCATTGAAGAAATTCCCGCAAAAGCAAGTCCAAAACCTGACAGGCATTCGAGCCATGTTAACCATAGGTCGCTTTCCCGGCAGATGGAAAACAGCGAAAGTCATTTTGATCAGAAAGAGCGGAGAACCCAAGCAACTACACCGAAAGCTACCGCCCTATCAGCCTGCTTTTAGCACTTGAAAAAGTCGCTGGAAGAGCTATTAAATGGGAGCTCCAAGAAACAATCGACAGATCCAACCCACTAGCCAATGAACAGATGAGATTTAACAGCGGGCACTCAACATTACACCAAGTCAAAAGATTGACCTCATTTATCATGGAAACCGGAGCGGTGTTCCTAGACAGAAGCTTTTGATAAGATGTGGCACAAAGAACTCATTCTAAAGATGCTACGTTTCAACATGCCACACTACCAAGTTCGTCTTATGACCTGGCCAATAGAAAATTCAGCGTCACAATAAACAGCCCCTCAACGAACGAAATAAGATTCAGTACCACACCAGTGCATTCCTATCATATGCCGATGACACAGCTATAGTAGCTACTGCCATGAGCCGGCCCATGATAAGAGCACGCCTGCAAAGACACTTCAACAGCTTGGAAGCTTGGATGGACAGATGGCTCCCCAGGAAGACTCAAGCTATCTTGTTCACCAAGAAAAGAAAACCACCAAAAGAGAAGCTTAAGTGGAAGAACGCGGTCCTACCAACATTAAATACCTAGGCATCAATAAATACCTAGGCATCATAGACAGATGATACCAGACTCAACTGGCGACTTCAAGCCAAATATGCCAGGAACAAGCTATACCAACTTTACCCTCTTCTCAACCGCCACAGCCGACTGAACAGCAGAACCAAAATCAACACTTAAAAGCTGTATATCCGGCCTACACTTACATATGCAACGCCAGTTTGGTATGCCACTGCAACACCAAATAACCGCCATCCCCGGACTGGCCTGAAAAACCAGAATACCACGTATAAACCTCCTGAACGCACCATGGTTCGTCCAAAACAGCACTATCAGCAGGGTTACACAACTGCAGACTCTTGACGAACACATTTAAGAACTATGCGCAAGTCACTTTGTGTAAGCCCAAAATTCCACCAAACCCTTGATAAGGGATTCTCACAACCCAGCTCCGCCGGGATCAAGACATTTTCAGCCAAGGAACCAAATCTGAGGTAGCCAAGAATCACCACCTACTCAAATATCTGGGAATTCAGAATATGCACTTAGATAAAAACAAGAACATAAAATTCACATAAATTTTTCCCAACCACAAAAATAAATGCCATTTGGACAAGACAATTTTTTTAAATTAAAGTACCTTTTGTGGAGTGATATCTAGACTATAACATGAACCGTTGCAATTATTATCACCTTATATTATATTCTGTTTGAATGTGGTCGAAAAGGCTAGGTATTTAATATGATTAACATGCAAAATCACTCTAATGGCCAATCTCCTGCACAAGCGCTTCAACAGGATAAGCTCAGAAGATTTAATTTTCTACCCAGAAGGACCCCAAGCCTTCGTGCTGATTACTTATTCAATAAGTTAAATTACAAGTCGAATTTTAAAAGCTTACTGCAAGGAGTCAACTTTCGACTGGAAGGATGAATGAATAACTCCATAATTTTAGTTAGTAGGTGTAAATGACTGAAGCGAGGACTAGAGTAGGTACCTACATAACAAGAATTATGATTAAATCTATGATAGTTTGATTAGTAAAAGTTTTTTTAAAAGTTAATTTGGTGTATGTAGATCGTAGATCTAACAGATTATGCCAAATGTCACATTGGTGGTTTTATCTTTCAAAGCCGCATCCCAATCACTAACGAGTATTGGATAATGAGATGTATTTTATGAAATCAGATTAAAACTAGCATCAAGTTATAATTTTATTAGTTAACGTAATGAAAATACATCACAGAAGCTTTATTTTATGAATAATAATTGAAAAGCATAATACATTTATATTTGTTACGAATATATCACAATATTATTTTTGATTAATTTGCAGTTTTCATATTCGATACCAGCAAATTAAATAATTTTCAGGAAAATTTATCATTTACAATGGTACAAAATCTCCTCCCTAGCACAATCATCACACTTCAACTCAACCTGATACTTCGTATGCGTATCATTCTTCCAGCTGCAATTACATTTCTCCAGAACCTTTCTAGTCGATATTTTATAATCGTTACTACAACACAACGTAGCGCAATTATCGACATCCTTACATTGCCTCCCGGTGGTGGACAATCCAAAATTTTTGCGAGAATCGCAAAAATTTGGTGTAGGATCTAAATAAACTAATTGCTTCATTTTTTTTCGAACTCGTATGTTGTGGATGCTATTGTCTGGTTCCACTTTAATGGCATTATGGTAGAGTTGTTTCAGTTTTTCGGCTACTGTTCTAAAGGGCTTTACTCGCATCCAGCAAATTTTATGAGTACAAGCACCTGAAAATAACTTTTGGAGAATTGTGTGTCATACTTTATAAAATTGTAGCAAAGCATTGGTAGTTCTTTTTCTTGATACCGTGGCGGAAGAACTAAACTGATGCTCTTACCTGATACACCATGACATTTACAGTACTTTTCAGTTTTATTTTGCATTATCCTTAATCCTACGCGACTATTGTATTTCATAATATCGCTAGGATTGTCCCCTTTGTCTTTTAGCAACAAAAATTTCTCTACAAATCTTGAAGCAATTTTTGTGTTCACTGAACAACCTGAAAAAAGTATTATTTAACTTCAAAACTAATAACAAACCATTATTTATTTACCGCCCCATTCTTCAATAGGATTATCACTTTGCAGCTGACTGGTACACTTGCAATTGGCTAGTTTGCCGTCAACACAAGCCTGAGCTAGAATGTAACCCAAAGCTGATGAAGCTAAACTGTACATAAAGGCAGTCTCTCGGTAAGATCTTTTGAAAATTTTTTTCATGTGCGTTGATGAACAATTCCATTGTTCATACCTAAAAAGCTTAGTTAAAAATGGTTCGAGGAATGTGGAAATTTTCCTATCCATTTTATGTCAGATTTTCTTATCTAACATTATAAAAGTACCTAGTTACCCATCTACATCTACAACCTGTTAGAATCAAGAACCAAGTTTAAGTGTCCATTACTTACTGAAATTGGTTTTCACACGACTTCAAAGCCAATAATCTAGTTTGTTGTAAAATAAGCGGTAAACCTCTTCTTCGTTGGCAAATTTTTCTTTGAAATTTCAGCCCTTTCAACCATCTGCATAAGTTTTTGCCTGTTTCTAGATCGGGATCGAAAAAGCTGGCATTTGAGGTGAAAAGAAGTTCTATCACTGACCTTTTTCTTGGCACCATTTTGATGTTTCTTTTCAAGGAGCTAAAATGGAATGCGTGACGGTTTTATAGATTAAATAGTAAATCCACACCTTTTGTGAATAACTGAACTGCACTTATTTCCTTTCAGACGGTTTTTTTTTGGTTGTATTTAGTGATTAAACAACGGAAGTCAAACATACCTGAACGTTGATTTTTACTTTTTGGAATCTAATGCCCTTTGGATAAATCGAAGTGATAATTTTTCTCAATTATAGGAAAAAAGAGTTGGAAAAAAAATATATAAACTGGAGCAATCCATTCACTATGGCAAACATGTTTTGGAACTTTATTGTCGAGACGTCTCCTCCTACTGTCTATACACTTTGAGACACAGTTTTTTACAAATTTCAGTTACTAGGAAGGTAATTGTTCAGGAGCATGTTACCGAAAAGTTGGCGTGCATGTTTGTTAGTGAGTAGATTGCTTAAAGCTTGAATAATGAAAATATTGAAAAAAGAAGAAAAATTCATACCTGTTAAAAGTTGCGCTGCCGAAAATCAAAGTAACAAAACACAAAACGATCAAAAATGTCAAAATCCGATTATTAACCGGAATTATTCTGTTCATTTTCCAGTACTACATCGCGGAAAAGTGCGTTATCAGTGCGACATTAAACAAAATGGTGGCCAAGTGTATGATGGAGAGGAGGAAATCGTATTGGCTTGCAGATAATACAAGGGAAATTTAAAATATTCGACACGGTAAGTGTATCTTGTATGAAGCTTTATTGAATAATCCCCGGTAAAGATAAATAAAGGCATCGTTAAATAACCAATAAAAGCGAAAATGATAAAGTCGGGTATTTGGTTCACATCCAGAAGCAATAATGGGCGGGGATCGAACTAACGAAAAAGCGATGTGTTGGAAATGTTTATTGTCGTTACCTTAATTATAATTTTTTTTTAGCTTTTAATAATTTTAGTGTAATTTTATGATAGAATGGCCATTAAACCTCTGGCATACGTTATGATCTTTCAAAAGTGTTTTTAAATAAAAAATGTATCACATGGTGAACGAGACCTCTGAAGAGCAAACAGCAGAATTCGGAATTTAACTACGTTTACATTATCTTAGTTAAAAATAATTTCGATTGGAAGTGTGATAATGAACTCATTTAATTTAAATATCTCTGATAGAACAATCACATTGGTTGTTGCTAGTGCTGTTGGTATAGCTATACGCTATCCTCACGTTGCTATTTCCGTTATAAGGGAAAGACTCATGATTCTCTATCTCGAGCTCATAAACAACCAAAGAGCCACTCTAACTGACTTTAGATTCCGACAAATGATAAAAATAATTCTATAATCGTCTATATAGGATCTTAACAAACATATCTCGATCAGACGAAATTATTTTGGTAGACAATGTCCAAGGAATGGAAACAAGGAAAACAACCACGATGCTCGTGAAATATTGAACAGCTTGAAGACCCCAAAACAAACTCCCAACTCCTATATTGAATGAGAAATTATCTGCTGATTATCCAGAAAGTGGTTATGATAAAAGCTTGCCAAAAGTCGACCGGCTTTAGGGCAAAGAAAAATCAGGATTGGGTTGAAAAGAGCAATAAAAAAGTTCAGAACGACATAGATTAGAAGAGGAAAGCCAACGATGTCTTGCAAAACGATCCAAATTTAGCTCACAAAAAACACAGCTCCGAGCAAAAGCTGAAGTAAAAAGAAAAACAAGAGAGCTGAAAAACGAATGGTGAATGGTGGTCAACAAAGTCAATCGAATTGGAGTAAGCAGCTCGAACAGCACCAGAGTCTTCTAGTCTCCTTCCCCTAAGATCTACAAATGGGAATGCTTTCCAAAGATCTAGCTGCTATTAGCGTCCGATGGAAAGAGCATTTTTCAGAAACTCCTAAACACAAAGTCACACGTAGATGATGATGTCTTCAACCTATCTGAGTGAGGTTCCTTTCAATCATGAGTATATCGCGATCACGTGTTAGTTTTATTTTCTGTTGTTTTTTTTTTTTTTTTTTTTTTTTCATCGCGATTTTTCATTTTACTCGTTATCTCTATACATTTAGTTTTGTTCGGAAAATGTTTTCCACTCTTCTAGATTGTAGATTGTAGATTGCGGAGGAGTCGTTTCGGCTTTTCAGCCGCTCAGCACTGCTACTTTTGCAGATATTTTGTACATGACTCTACATCTCAAATTGTCTTCAGGAAGCGTATAGACTTCTGCCGAAGGAAGCTATTTTCCTGGGTGTTAGTTGGCCCACTTCTTCTGGTGACAGTGTTGCCCCCTCGAGGAATTTGAGCCTCTTGCAGAATTGGGCTGGACATTCGCAGAGCAGGTGCTCTGCGGTCTCTATTGCGTCTGAGCAGAATCTGCAGAGATCGTCTTCCGCTCTGCCCATTAACCTTAAATGGTATTTTACTGGGCAGTGTCCTGTGAGCAGTCCCACCACCAATCTGATGTCTGGTCTGCTCATGCTTAGGAGCTGTTCAGCTCTTTGCTGAAAAGGTAATAAACCTTTTAGACTGTCTGAGTCCCGGTGTGTGCCTCCAGTATGATGACAGTTGGTCTTTCTCCCATTTATTGAGTTCTTCCATGATTTGGCTTTTCATTAAGCCACAGTAGGGCTCTGGTCCATGGTATGGTGCTGAGGCCCCTTCCTTTGCGAGGCCATCTGCTTCTTCATTACCTTCTATGCCTCGATGACCAGGCAGCCACATCAGCGTTACCTAGTTGTATGTCGCTAGTGTTTCTAGGGTCTATTTACACTCCCAGACTAGTTTTGACGTGCATTTGAAAGCCCTTAAGGCTTTTAAGGCAGCTTGGCTGTCCGATAGTATGAAGATGTGTTTTCTTTTGAGGCTTTGGCTAAGACACTCTTCTACATGGACTTCTATTTCATTTCTCCTTAACATCTTCCATACCTTTTTCTTGTTTCCGTTAATCTCTCTTTTCATTTCTTCTGTGAATCTTTCTCACGTATCGAGTATCATCCTCTATGTCAGTGGTTCCTGGTTCCCATTCCCAAACTTTTTTCTTTTGTGCCTCCTTCTTGAAATCAAGAAGTGATCACGCCCCCTTTCCTTCCCCCATTATACAAAAACATTTTTTTTAACTCACTGTAACTCGTCTGAACTGGACTTTGGAAGAGGAGAGATGGGCATGACAGTGGGCAGCGAGCGTGTACTGTAGCACTGATCGTATGGCAAAGCTACTTTGGCTTAGGTATGCGCTGTTGCCGGATTGTAGACATCTCTTTTAAATTTTAACTGATTTTTTATTTTAAAGCTTAAAATTTTTATTAATTTTTTAGGAGACTTACGCCCCCCTCAATATTGCTTCATTGTTTCACACTCTTATATTTGTATTGTGGTTTAAGTTTTGGTGTGATGGGTAAGTTTAATCCTTTTGGCTGCAACAAGTGTTTGTTCTCACATCCAGTATCCAGTATTCAGTATCATTTGTGGAGTAATAATTATTACAGTGATGATCATGACCTAATACAAATTGTTGCCCTTTTCTGTCTTGCTTTGTATTGTCACGGCTCTGGGGTGCGTGCGAAATCTTGGGTTCGTTTATTCCAAAATCAAAGTACAATTAACACAACAATAATTTATTCCACGTTACAATACACTCTGGCACTTCACTAATTAACTTAAACAACTTAACTGTTTACAACTCTTAACAATAATCACTATCTAAAACGTATCACAGCCAATCTTAAACTTGAAAACTACTAACTAATACCGGCCTTTATATATCCGTAATCCATTCTTGTCTTATGCAGAATAAACGTGATAATCTGTTTGCCCGAATAAAGCAGTCTTTTCTGGAATATTAGGCATGAATTATATATACCTACTCCTAAGGTTGATCGGGACGATCAACTTCACGCCCCTGATATTTCGTCAATCTGTCCAGATGTACAACTTTCATCTTACTCCTGGTGTTGCGCTGAACTCGATAATCCAAATCATTGATCCTCTTGACTATTCTGTAGGGTCCACACTAGATCACCTTCTTAAAATCCGGCTGAATTAGCTTTCAAGTAGTATCTGGTCTTCATTAGGTCACTGGCCAGCTGAATATGCTCCCGAGTGAGATCATGTATCCGTGCCCTTACTTCGTCGGCATAATCTCGATTTTCTTTTTGTTCTTCTTCATGTATTCCAAACATCAGATCGCAAGGTAACCGAAGTTCCTTTTCAAAAACGATTCTGGCTGGACTTTCACCTGTTGACTCGTGAACTGCTGCTCTGTAAGCCATTAAAAAAAGAGGCAAGTGTTTGTCCCAATCCAAAAGGAGCCCCTGAAGTTCCGTCATGTATTTCTATTAATACATCTTCTACTCGATCTTTTGGAATAACCAGTTGGCTCTTAGTAGATTTTCCATCGGCACTTTTCCAAATTCTATTTAGTAAACCATTTTCAACGGCCAGAGGGTTCTACTGAGCCCACAACGCCTTATAAATCAAACTTTTGTTCGACACTTCCCTCCATTTTAACCTACATTCATTTTTTAAGATGTAGAAATTGCCCGATGTCCTGATCTGCTTCTTGATCTACTCTCATTTGTTTGGTAGCCCATTTATCATCAACGATCAGACCCGTTCTTCTCACAGCCGGATCAGTGTTTTTCTCATGCATGTCGATTCTTTGACAATGTTTGCAGTCTTCTTTGCATGGCCCTCTAGACAGAGCGTCAGCATTTTTATGCAGGTTTCCAGGTCGATGTTTGATATGGAAATCGTATTGCTGCAATTTCTCAATCCATTTAACAAGCTATCCTTCGGGAGTTTTCATTTCTAGAAGCCATTTTGGAGCCGCGTAATCGAATTAGAAACTTACATCCGTAGAGATACTCATGGAAATGGTCGACTGCTTTTACTATGGCGAGCAACTCTCTTCTAGTGTCTAGTGACACAATAATTTCGTCCCGACTTTGATAAGATTCTGCTGTAGTACTCTACGACATGCTCTTGTGAATTTTGGATTTGTGAAAGGACAGCTTCAATACTGGTGTTGCTTGCATCTGTGTCCAAAATCAACATGCCTTTCTGATCGGGATAGGACAACACTGGGCTTGTACATAATGCTCCTTTTAATTTTCTAAATGCAGAATCGCATTCTAGGGTCCAATTGAATTTTCCTTCCGTTAATCGATGAAGCGGAGCAGCTATATTAGTGAATCCTTCTACAAATCTTCGATAATAAGAACATAATCCTAGAAAACTCCTCAGTATATGTTTGTCGCGTGGTTTTGGCCAATCCTTGACAGCATCTATCTTTCCTTCCATATATGCCATCTCCAGATACCACGTGACCTGAGAATTCCACTTTTTTTTGAAATAGAAATCCCTTATTTAGATTGAGTTTTAAGTTGGCATCCTTGAAATGAAATGTCTTTTCTGAATGTCGATTGATATAGCAAACACGTCGGGGAAGTCACAAATTCAGATATTGATTGGTTTCCAAATAGAATGTTCTAGAATTTCACAGAAATTCCTCGAAATTCTTTTTCTGAATGACGATTGATGTATCGAATACGTCAGCGAAGTCAGAAATTCGATATCTCCCTTGGTTTCCAAATAGAATTTTCTGGAACTTACTTGAAAATTTACTATTAGGTACAGTCAAAATCGGGTATATAGTCACTTCTGGGGTAAATTACATGATTGGTTAAGTCTCTTTTGGTGATTGCCACTGCTTACACTAACTCACTCTCTCAGTGTTCACATTATGCCTGTTTCCGCAAAAATCACAAACCAGTCAGAGCGTTTT